AGGTGACTAATGCTTGGAGATTTGCCCCCACTCCCACTACAGACCTACTGAAGCACAGGCAAGAACTTATCATTTTACATACAATTTCTCAAATTACATACTGCACAGTCCAGCTGTCTGTGTGTTATACTGGCACACTGCTAAACAAGTAACCCATTAGTTTAAGAATGGCTGGCCACAGCCCTCATTTCACACAATAACATTATCACATTCTTGTGCTAATTCTGAAAATACACATGCAACTTATTCATTGTAATAATACAGTACTTTTAAATTGTTACAGTAACTGCACAAAATCGAATAACACAGACTTGGGCTATGCAGAACACTGCATTACTGTGACTGTACATATTCCAATCTGAAATAAATGTAAAAGATATAATATACAGTTAACATTTTTCACATCTCACCAACACCTGGTTACAACAAGCCAACAAAATAAATTATTCTTAAAACGTCACTCAAAACGGGAAGTAATTTTAGTCAGATAAAGACTGTAACTGAGGATAAATCAAGAATTCCAATTACGAGGCGCGTCCCAAAAGTAAGTTTCCCACTCGTCCCACAGCTAGCAAACCTTATATTGCGCGAAGCGACTGTGCGTACGTGATAGAGCAATGACGTAGCATGGCGCATGCACAAACGGTACTTCCCGCGTTCTCACAGTAGCATCGTTGCAGCTGTTGAAGATGGAGGTTCTTATTCCAGCCCCCGCCGACTGTGAAGTGCGGTCAGTGATAACGCTAGGCCGCACACGACTCGACGGACAGCAAGTCTCCTGCAGAAGTTCAGCTGGGAGGTGTTTAATCATCCACCCTACAGCCCGGACCTCGCTCCCAGTGATTTCCATGCGTTCATTTATTCGATTCCAACCGACTAACGAGAACACCCCATAATTTCCAGGCTCTTATTCCGTAACCTAATAACAGCCCACAAATATCACTGTTTGCACACAGAAACTTACGGCAATGATTCTTGCATTATGGCATTTTAAAACTGAATATTTGCAATTATGAACTCAAATAAATGTAGCAAGCAAACATCTTCCACAGCAAAACACTAACAACTCGCTGCACATAAACTACTTATGCCAGTCATGCCACACCTCCATGACTCCAAAGACTAAATCCACGCAACAAATCTTACCAACTTATGTCTTTCTCGCTCTCTCTCTCTCTGCAAACTTGGCCATAACGAATTCTAGCAGCGAACCCAATAAACTACTTAATTCAATGTGTACATAGATACCGTGACTTGAAAATAAATTCTGAACACGTACAGCGGAGTCGGGAACTACTAGAAGGCTATGGTTTAGTAATGCTATTTTACCGCATGGTGGCGAGGTGAGGCGAGAAAAAGAAGATGAGACATAAAATGGCAGGAGTGAATGAATGTTTTAGCATCGGAAGTATTGTGGCTTGTAAAACATGCTATAACAAGGAAATAGAAGGAGAGGTTCTCGCATTTGATCCTCAAACAAAAATGCTTATTCTTAGTATCCTTTTAAATTTTCGAACAAGTAGTGAGTCATTTGTGTATGTTCTTAATATTTTTTTTGCAATATTGAGGGTTGGGCAATACTTTGCATTTTATGTAAGAGCAATTGTAATCTAATTGTAGTTGACAGATGGATACTGTTATGTTTCATAAGACAGGTAACTAAAACTGCACGGAGGCAGTTGTAGCAACTAACTTGTAGGGGGGTGAGATGCAGATGCATGTGACATGCGATAGTGATATGTTTTCAGAGTTATCCTTTACTGTAGAGCAGAATGTCCAGCAACAAATGGACAAACGCCTTTGAACGATGTTCATATAATCAATCTGTCCTTGGTAAGCGATGTCCAAGTTAAAAAGGAAGTGAACACGGTACCAGAACCACCTCAGTCACTAGATTTATATAGGGTAAGTTTGAACAGTGGTGACACGGTAATATTTGTCTCATAAACTGGAATTTTACATGTAGTGTTTTGTGTATGTGCGTGAAACTTGGTCTTTGACTGAGATGAATTCTGTAGAGAATAGATTAATTTTGAGAGTAATTCATAAAGAAATGTTGGTAATGACATAATGATGACTTTTGTTCAGTTCCACCAAGATGTGCTGATGGGGTCTTATTGTCTTGTTGTTGCACGTGTGGTATGGGCAGGAAGTAGTGGGAACAGTTAGGACCCATACAGTTATACAACGAAAGTAGTATAAACCTGAAGATTTCCGTCTTCTGGGTTGTTCCGCTGTGTAGTCTGGTCGATGTTAACCAACGTTTCAGAGGTCATACTGCCTCCATCATCAGGGCGATGACGGAGGCAGTATGACCTCTGAAACGTTGGTTAACATCGACCAGACTACACAGCCCAACAACCCAGAAGGCGGAAATCTTCATACTCACCGCTGTGAGAACCTCATGTCTTACATAGTATAAATCTCTTTGTTCATAATAGAATTAGATGAGTTACCTCGTTGCTGGCACGACCTGCTGACAGGGCTAGGTTTAATCATTGTAAGTCACTGACAACACACACTAGTGTGTGTATGAGATACAGTGGCATTTTGGAAGCAGCCACCTACTTCAGCTACTTGCATGAATGTTTCTTTGGTGCTGCAAGTACCACTGATCACAATAGTTCATGTTTTGGCTGCATGCATTAGTGTCTTGGTTGACTTGTAATATTTATTTCTCACACATGATTCAGTCAAAAAGAATGAGATACATGAGACATCTAGTGCTTGGACAGAAAAGTAAAGACTTTCAAAGCTTGAACCTTCAGAAAAAGATGCAACTTTGTGAGATTTAGGTTATATTGGACGTTATTTTTAAAACTGATAAATATAGGTTATGATGGTGTAAAATTGATTGAATTACCTGAGAATATAATTCACTGGTAGAGTTTTGTAGTGAGAATCTGTGACTGTAATTTTTTTTAGTAGTTTAAAACTTAGCATTTAGGTTGGGTTATTTGAATATTGGTTCTGAGAAGATGGACTTGGTAGTAGTGAAACATAAAGAAGAATTTGTAGCAGTCACAGATTGTCATCACCCGCTAGCAGACGTAGGATACATCACACAACACAAAATTGAAAATGAACGTCTAACTACAGACATGCAGAGCATTATGAAGACAGAAAAATCTACAAATATACCTATAAATCAATAAATGCATTGCATCGAAATGTATAATAGTTTTAAAATGATAAAAATGACGATATAAACCTGAAGATGATGTCATAAAACATCGAAACATGTCGTACAATTAATAATAAGCGCCATAATAAATGTAACATCATACTACGATAAAAGCGCCATAATATAACATAATATAACTTATTGTAATATTTTATACTACAGATGTTATAGTGTTATATAAATTTTAACAACAACATTTTAAATACGTTTGTGTATAGACTGTGATAATAAATATATATATAAAGAAGAAATAATGTGGGGCTTGTGGGCTGTGTGAATGTAACACATTTTAGTTATGGTTTCCGATTGAAGCATATTACATTGCGTGTGCATGCCACCTGCAGATAGCTTGTAAAACAGTCATGCCACTGGTAGACATCAGTGTGTTACACAATTTAATAAAACTATAAATTCACAATCATTTCCAGTGACAAGCTTTGGTGTTAGCAGTGTTGGATCTTTGGCAAGACAAAATATTTCCTTATCTGTATAGTTCTATAGAAACTTTATTTAGTGAAAAACTGCATTTTTTTAGAATATAGTAGCATAGGGTTCTTCTCACTAATGTGTGTGTGTCGAAGAGAATCAGAATGAAATAAGCTGGTGTCTTTAATCCATTGGTACTTTCTTGATAAACTGGTCAGTATTAAAATATTTTGAAGTAAATGTCTCATAACTGTCATAGTACTTCCATGTCAGTATGGAGCCTCTGTTATTCAGTAAGTGAAGTGTTTCCATTTTCATTTAGTGACATTTACAAGCTTCAAGATATCTGATGCCACTCAAAAGGACAGGTGACCCATAGTTGTCAAGGTTTGTGAATATGCTTAGTGTGTGATACAGCATTGTATTTTTGCAGCTAAACATCAGGGTACGAAATCAAATTGATGAGAAGCGAAGGCTTGTTACCGCCCTATCTGCAAGTGTTCCCCCAGAAGGACAGAAGCTGTTTTATGCCATCTCAAAGACGTAAGTGGCTTCACAGCAGTACGAAGTCTTGTCAGAGCGACGAGTGCAAGTTTGTCATGGTACAGCAGAAGCCTTCCTCCCAACAGTGGCCTGTGGCCTCTAAAATGTGATAACCCACTGCCTGAAATTATATTTTATGAAAATACGAATGTATTGTTAGAAACCCTATTGCCTGTAAGGAACACCCCCTCCCCCACACTCAGAGATGCACACAAAAGTGTGAACCCTGTAGAAGTGGCATCAGTCAGTGACATCTTTAATCAGAAACAGGCAAAATAAGTAGATATTTTGATAGACCAGGACATCCTTTTAGATGTTTTAGTTTCATTTTCATTAAGAATAGTTGTCTGTTTTATGTAGGTGGATGTAAAATGCATAAAATTGAAATGCAATTGAATGATTTCTGGGAAAACGTTCATTTGGCGTCTGTGGCATGTCTTGAAACTCACGTACTCATTGGTTCTACACTGCATACACTTTATCTTCTGTGTCTTTTTGGAGCAGTTAGATGCAGTTAGTGTGTCTCGTTATCACGAAGCACATTTCATGTCGGTGCTTTTTATCACTTTCTTCACAGCTTCTACCAGTATTGTAATATTGTATCATTGTACTGACCCATTGTAGTCAGATTTCAACCATGACTCAGTAATCATTAAGTTTAGTTTATGTTTTGTGTGTGTATACAACTTGATCGATACTTTTGCACCTTTTATGAGGAATAATTAAGAAAATTGTTGCTGTGGATCTTGGTTGACTATACAGCCTGTACATATGAAGCACTGGTCCCAACATTTGATTTTTTTACATTCTCTGAATCACTTCTCTTTATTCCTGTAACTGAGTGAAATGTGATCTTTTTTTGTATTGCAGCATCAAGGAGGTGAGTTGGCAGGGATCCAACATCGTGGTGTTTGACACTGTGACGATCACACCGCCCTACAAACTAGACAATGTGCGAGCACATGCAGAATGCAAAGCCTTAATGCACATCAGGAAAGTAGTAAGTGCATTCAGCTGCAGAGGTTGTTTATGATGACAGAAGGCACAATTTCTGAAAATCGGCCGTAAGCTCATTGTCCAGTTGGATCCAGAATAAACCTAATCGTGTTCACTATAATACTGTTCATGAGTGTTGACTAGTTTTTGTAAAACTTGTTACAAAGGTCTTGTCACCTGTACCATTTACGTGGTGCAGGTACAGAGAATCAGGGTAACATCATTGATACGTCTGAAAGCTCCAACATGCCATTGACATTGGGTGTTTCCTATTTGTAAATGTTGTAAGGAAATGAAACACCTACTTGTTTCATCATTCTAGTATAACTTGGCATAGATTACATGAATGATTTTTATCAAGCATGGTAAAATGGACTTGCGCTGATATTTTAGACAGGTGCAAATGGCCTGAGATGCTTTCATGCCTCTGTAGACATTGAAGAGGCAAACCGTGTTACAGAAGACACTTCATGCGATGTGTGTTCATCCACAGGTTGAGAAACACATGAGAGAGCAGGCAGCTGCAGAGGCGGGCACATCAGTCGCTGGAGCACAGACTTCACCGCAGTAAGGAGGCGTTCATCTGCGCCTCAAATGACTGAACAAGTGGGGGAGAGTGCCGCTGCTTATATTCCATTATTTAGGACCAGACCTACTGGCCACTGCTACCAACACTTTTATAAGTGTGTCTGGGACTTCAGCAAAGCCTTGATACTGTGCATTTAGAGTTTTCTGTGTTTATGTACATATTCACCAAGAACCTGGTAATTACAGACCCGACACCTTAGGTGCTGGATCCAGAATTACCAGGAAATCAGTAAATATGAATCTGTCCACGGTATCGAGGTTTTGCTGTGTGCTGAAAAAGTCGTGAGATGTGGCGTCCATTTTAGTGGAGACTGGCACTCATGTGTAGGGACATAGAAATTCCAGTGAGTTGTGCGTGCGTGGCTTCTCACGCTCATAATCATATATTGCCCCAAGTTAACAGCAGTGTGGGAAAATATTGTATTTTTTATAGGTTTAAGGAAGCAAATTTGTAAAAGTGTGACAGGGCTTATCTCCCTGCAAGTAGATGAATTTAAGTTATGGACATCAACACAAAACTTGGTGGCTTCTAACTTGCACCCTGCATACATAAGTACTGCCAAATTGGTAAGCAAGTGTGTTGGAAAATATGATTGATGTGTGGATTTGCTCCGCTGATCCAGGAGGTTATAGTTACAATCACAAAAGTGAACTTTATTATAGGGATACTCACTGTTTTAAAGGAATGCAATTGATAAGACAAGGAATAGTGAATTTGTTTAAATCAAGTGTAGGCATCGTTAAAAATGAAATGCTGGTTTTGCTGCCAGTAGGGTAACATTTAGATATAATTCAAATGAAATTTAGTAAAGTAAATAAAAAGGAAACATTAAGAAATGTTTTTTGTTTTGTTTTCAGAACTGTCTTGAAAATTAGTGGAGCATTATTATTTATTCTTGGCAGCATGAAACATGTTCTTGTCAATTTCCACCAAAGTAAATGAATAAAAATCAGAAAAAATAAGAATGAAACCATAATTATATATTATTTGAAAGTTAAAGCTGTTGTTTTTTCTGCTTCTCCTTGACTTATGGGGTATTCTGGCTCCTTTGCATGCAGTGTGACCTCAGGACACAGTTGGGCGAGGTGTTGAACCGGTTCGTACTGTGGCCTGGTCTACATCAGTTGTAATTTATGTGTAGTTACTAATCTGTGTAAATCCAGTATGTAACAAAATGGTACACAGGGTGGCCTTGGACTTGGTGGCTGTTGTGAACATGGTAATGAACCTTCAGTTTCCGTTAAGGACTGGGAATTTCCTGGCAAGCTGAGTGACCATCACCTTCTCAAGAAGGACTACTCCTTGGATTTGGTGCCCTAGCTGTATATTATATTCTATCATTTGTTTAACCCTAGCTGCTACTAACTGGTGAACTGTCAAATGGTATATTTGGTCCAGTGGATAAAGAGACAGGTTGATTCTGGCCAGATATTGCAAAATGTTTTGAAAGTAATTTCCCATCCAGTCGTAACAGTCCAGAGACATGGATTTATGTGCATGTGCGTGGGCACTGTACATAAGCAGCCAGAGACATTAATGTGAAGTGAGAAGGGTATAAAAAATAGGTTCTCATAGGCCACATGCGGTTCACCAATGTGTACTTTTTTGTAATTCTTTATCACTACATAATGAAAAATAGTTCCTGCCAAAATCAATATGCTCAAGTTTTCATCGTCCTGGAGCTAAGAAATAGGTAGAACAGACTGAAGAAATTTGCATAATGAAGAACTTGATAAATTGCTGTTATTAATTTCTAAACGACACTAGGGCGATAAAATCAGGGAAATGTGATGGGAGGGTCTTGTATCACGAATGGAATTAATGCATCGCAATTTTAATTTGAAATCCCGGAGACAAAAGTTCACTCGGAAGACCTAAGCACTGTTGGAATTACAATGTAAATGGGTGTTAAGGTAGTAGGGTGGAAGTCTGTGTGTACTGGATTAATCTGGCATAGAATGATGATGTAGGGCGGGCCATTATGAATATGACAATGAATTTTCTGGTTCCATAAGTGGGATTTTCCTGACTAGTAGGCTGTAAGTTTCTCAACTTTAAAATAGACCACTGCCTATTTGCTGTTAATCTTGTAATGAAAAATTGTGTAAATTGTTTAATTGATTTCTTTTCTGAGTTATAATTCCATTATGGAAAGAAGAAGAAAGTATTGAAGACCTTTTGTCCTGAAAAGTAGTAAATGTTTTTAAATGGCAGCTAAGCAGCTGAGAAGCAAGAAAGTTATGTGTGAAGATGCGAGAGTAGAAATAGACGACAGTTCAGATTCTGAGTTACCGTGTGGGCAACCTTTGTATGACAGTGAAACCTATGGAACAGGGGAACCGCAGGGACCACATGTGTCGGCAGACGTAGAAGGCCCACTCCGGGAGCCCACCGAAAGTGGAAAGAGGGTAGAGCATGCTGTAGTAAGGGGGATAGTCACCGAAAGTGGAAAGAACGATGATAACGAAATGCAAAAATCACAAGCAGACTTGCTAGCTACAATTTGGGACTGTTTGCTAGAAGATAGAAAGAAGAGGGAGAGAATCAGGCAGGAGGACAGAGATACGAATGAGGCTATTGTAAATCGTATAGAATCAACTGCAGACATATTATCCAGAGAAATGGTGTGTCTTAGAGAAGGTACCTGACGTGAAATTAAACTTGTAAACGAGAAAGTTAAACAACAGTTTGCCAGTGTGAATGAGCAGGTGCGAGAGAGCATGGCGGAAGCAAAGCGAATTAATGAACAAATGAACAAAAAAATAGTTGACCATAGGCAAGATGTAGACAGTGAGTTAGAAACTTTTCGGCAGGATTTGCAAAATTTTAGAAAGCAGATGAGGCTAAAGTACGTAGACTGCGAGATCGTGTGGATGCTGTGGAGAAGGATAGTCAATCCAAGATAGAGGAAGTAATGTCTAGATTAGGCAAAATGGTGGAGAAATTATCAGGTGCTCGTAGCCTTTTTGACCAGCCAACTACCAAACAAAAGAATGTTGGGCTCTTCAAATTCGGTTGTTTAACTAGAACAACGGTTGCTATTCTCAAAGCAATTTTCTTCTTGTCCATGTAAAATATATATAGAACCCATGACGGACATGACACACACATTCTATCAATCATGGAAAATTGAAACGAATATTAAGAAGGCCAATAGAAAAGAGCGAGTTCCTGCTATACCACCTCACAAGTGCCTGCATGGCTTACAATGGGATAGCTTTACTTTATTTTATTTTACTTTACTCCAGCATCACTCTCCTTCTGGTTCCTGTTTATTCAAATATCCGTTCTCACACAAAGAAACATAATTAACACTGATCTCAAGAATACCAAAAGATCACATAGACAATACAAACAGAAAAATGGTGAACTGAAATCATGTCTTGTATCTATGGAGGAAGATGGGTAACCTGTGAATCATGGCCTAAAATAATGTTTATGGCACAGTCAGCAGTAACTTTCGGGAGGTTAGCAAGATTAGAGGGAAGTGTCCTGACATGACATTCACTTTATTTCTCAATCATAATAAAATATGTGACATTAGATGACTATTCAATATATACAAGTTCTTTAATCAGTAATATTAAACTACCAGAACAGGACAATAAAAATCAGCATAATTATTTATATTCATGTTGAAGCACAACATTTTTGGCAGAGCAGGGATTACGTCACCAGTTCCAACCAACAAAGTTACAAAAGCCATTGACTGCTACATGAAAGCAAATATCACCAAGCTTCAGAATCAGTACACAATAAGGAAATAGTGTCTTTTTTATAGTGTTAATAGTTGTTTGTTTACTTATTTTATATTCTACATTAGGCAGTTTCTATTTTGCTTCTTAATCAGTGTTGTCAGTTTTTCGAATTCCTTCCAAGAAGTGTAGGAGCACTTTATAACGTTTGGTACGTGTACCAAGGCGTATTTGTGGATCCTGTAGATACTTTCTGGTTTATTGAAAGTCATTTAATAGATGATTTAAAAGTTCTGACAAATACAAATTCTGATTTATCCTTTCACCTGCAGAATACCACCACGTGTTCTACGTCACCCTTTTCACTGGAGTCGGTGTGAATATGAGTAAATGATTGATGTATAACCATCTCCTATAGCAGAGGTTGCTTTGCGTGTGCTTCCCACATGGTGTCAGTAGTTTTGCTACGGCGGAGTCAGGATCCAGCAATGATTTGTTGACAATGTTAGGAATTCAATAACAAAACTATTATGAGATGCCATTTGTTTGTTTCTGTACCTGTTCCCTAATTCTTCCTCTTGAACCTTTGTAGTTTCTGTGCCTCGGAAATGTGTTTTCTTATTGCTTTGTTGAATTTGCTCATTGTATCAACTGATTCCTGTTCTCTTTCTTTGATACTTTCGCATACTTCATTGCCTTCCCATTCAAGAGTTACATCTTTCAACAAATGTTTCTGTTTCTGTTTGGCTCACTTTGCTGCTCTGACTCTGCCTCATTCTCGTATCCAACAAATCAATCTCGTTCTGTGTGGATGATTTCCTTCTTCTGGATTGATGTTACTATGTTCTCATCGGTTGTCCTCGTCTCTGGGAACACAATGAAAGATCAGCCACAATTATAGTAATATGAGTTGCGTAGTAGGAATTTAATGCAGTGCTGAAAATTCTAGTTTCACCAGTCTGCATATGAGAAATGAAATACAAGGAAACATATTTTCTCAAAGTAAAGATTTGCTCCTCTGATCATCATTTCTATGAGTGCTTGACATAGCGCCCGAATTATACGATGGGCCTGACCAGCTAGCTGGCACATGATCACAGTCTCAGTCCTCAGCTGTGACCCACCACTCGGCTGGACTCAGAAAAGGAGTTACTATAAAACTTAACAGAATTCCTGGTCATGTCGATCTGTGTTGCTACTTTTGTTGAGAGTTAACAGGAAAATCAGCCTGAACAATGCAAAGTACTGTGCCATGAGTTGTTAACCTGGAAGCAATGAACTGATGTGTATGCTAGGTTAAATTGTATAGTTGGTACCTCTGTTTGCCATCCACCTGGCTCCTTCCTGAGTGTCCAGTTCTGAGATGAGGCTACTATTTCCCTCCCGTGTGTGCTGTGGGGATGTTTGAACATTCCATGGCATGATGAGCTCCTTTTCCTTCCAGTGTCCCCCTGAACTTCTCTCGCAAGCTGATGTATTATCAGTGCCACTGTCTGAGTGGCAGCTCTCCTCTGTATCATCCGATCCCTGCCAAATATATTCAGCTATATATTCATCATGTACGAAGTACTAATACTTACATTCCTGGCTTCCATGCAGTTGATCGACACACGTCCCAGTTTGTCTGTGCGGTGATATTTGTCAACCAAAGGTCAAACTAAATTTGTGTTAGTCGTGTTACCATTGTATGTACATTTTACCAGAGCTGGAAAAATTACTATTATACAATCAGACTGTTTTAATTTTTAATTTCCTTTTAGGTATTTAAATCCTTAATGTTGAACATTGTCATAGTTCCTGCACAGTCTTGCTTGGTAAATCGGTTATGGTCACTCTTCTTTCTGTTATATATTGATATGCGGTTTGTAATATGTCATTTTTTATGCTCTCACGCATAATTTTTTGTGTCATGTTCATTGTGATAATTGCACTCTTCAGTTTTAATACTGCAGAAAGGTGTTCAATGGTTATAGTGTAAGTAAACTGTTCAAATTTGCTCTTAGTAATTAGACTTTGGAGAGTTTTCAGTGTACAGTGTGTAAGATCAACTCTGATGATGGAGGTAGTCACTTGCACAGGTGATCGCTCAAAAAGACTTTATTGTGTCCAGATCTTATAAGCCTTACCTCATCAGTCATTGTTCCAGCATGTGGCACTGAGATGACTGCCTCATTGCTTCTGAAGCTGTCACATCGCTTTAGGAGAGCTGGAAGCAATCATACAGGACGTGAATAAAGAGATCCATGAACAACTGGTGTGTTCTCTTAATACCATGTACCATACATACATTTATGAAGAGTTGGTTTGGAATACATTTAGTTGTTGGGACACTGTAAGGCTCTTCATACATCATGTGTAGAAAATTTAATTTTTGTTCACATAACATTGTACATTGAAAATTTAGAAGCAAAGTAACTTCGGAAGATAAAGGCACAGATAAAGTACAGCTGTCTCACTATATACAATGTAGGCACTTGGGGGGAGAGGAGGTATAGCTCCTACTCATTCTTGACCTCGGCACTAGATGCGGATGAGCGGTCAGCATCATGCCCTGGCTGACCTTGTGAACGACTATCAGTTTTTCATGGAAGAGTCTGGTCTTTTTGGTTCATTATAAACAAATGTAAAAGTGCAGGTTTCTTCTTTATACAATCTCCTTTTGCTTACAATTGCAAAATATTTATTTATGAGGACATGTCATAGTTGCCCTATTTCCACCGATGAGTGCTTGAAAACTGATGTTGCACTGTGACAGGACTTGTGAGAAACGAATGAATGAAATTTACCCATTGCGCTGTCACTGATTTTTCTGTGCTCCTCTTCGATCCACTTCTTTCTCATTGCCTGTGCTGCTTCTAAACCACCTTCTTGCCTGAAACAAGAAGTTTTGCTAACACATGATTTTCCAAGACATTGTATGTGACTGTGACGTGACACTAGCTCAGAGGTAGAGCGGTTGGTAGATAATTATCTGCCCAGCATTTCTTCATAAAAGACTATCCTGAGTAAGTCCAGTCCATTTTATTGTCTTCTCAACCTACGTCTATGGTGTCCATTTTAAGTAGTCTCTTCCCTTGATTATAGCCAACCAAAATTGTACATATGTTTATTTAAGCACACAGATGATTTACATTTACACAATTGAGATCTGGAAATAATCAGACAAGCCACACAAAGTAGAAAGATCAAACACAAGCATGTGAGATCATGCAGGAAGTACGTAAATGTATTGCGTTTACTTTTTTCCGTCCGTTTGTCACAGCCGACAAAACATCCTGAATGTACGTGACAGAATTCTTACTTAATGTAACCTGCTAATGAAGTCTAAAGGGAAATTAGTAAGTAGGTTTGTAGCTGATAGTGACTCACCAAGCTTCTGCACATGCTCTGTCCTGCAGGAACACAGGTCTGTTGTCCAGGTGTTGCAGGTTCTTCTGTAGAGAACGTCATGGCTTTTAGAACTCATCATTCTTAAATAATTTTGGAGAGAAGCTTCCTGTCATTCTTTCTTTATATTACTCATACACTGCATTGAAATAATTCCCAGTGCTCTTTCCTGTGTGGAGTAAATCTTGATCTAATTGTCAGCATCCTAATTATTAAGAATTAATTAAGAAACAAATTATGAAGCTCCTCGTTTTGCAGTTTTCTTTCTTCTGTCAGTTCATTCGTCTTGGGTACAAATATTTATAAGTGATTATTAATCTATCCACACACTAAACCAATTTTTATTTATTATAAACTGTGAAATGAGATGCAAGGCTAACCCTGAAGGCGTTTGTTTACCTATCCTGGGTTGTTTAATCATCATCACATAGCAAGTGTTTTGGAAATAGCATCATGGCCTTTTCCTAGAAGGACTGAAGAAAACTCAGAGACTTGTGATTCAGTATCCAGGTACCTCTTAGTTACAAGTGAAGACATTACAGCTGAGCTGTTCTGTTCTCTATGGCCAGGTACTTACGCATGCCACAGTAAGGACATTTCTGTAACATGAGATCATCTTCAGTACAGGGTTCCCCATGACAGTCAAGACACGCAGGTTGCACATTGATCCAAAGACCTGTAACCAAGCCAGCAACTTATGACATATACTTGGTTTTGATTTGTAAGATATAAGAAGGATGGCAAGGACACCTGCTTAAGGCATTTGCTTCTGTGCTCTAAATTCCTGGCATTTAAGTCAGTATGGCGCAAGTCAGGTGGTTAACACCAGCACCTGTCACTTGTCGATTCCATTGAACCATACTGGTATATTATCATTGCTGTGACACTTGACTGGTCTCTGAATAAACAGATGTTTATTTTATTCAATAAATGAAAGTAGAAAACTAGCAGCATTCAATAATGACAAATGAGGTGAGTGGTGCCCCTTTCATTAAATGGCTGTGCACCAGCAGTGCTCTGATGTCACTCCACAATGTTCTTGTGAACTGTTATCTAAATTACATCCTTTCAAAAATAATGTGTTATATTTGTATTGCTTTCACTGCATTCAGATGTGCCAAACCCTTTGGAAACTAAACCTTAAATCCTGTCTCATAACTTCTTCTCTTCTGAGAAGAACAAAAGAGTGGTGTAACTATACACCTGAATTATGCAACAAAAACACAGGCAAATTCCTTTATGTTTTCTATAAAAAGAAATTGCAGCAACAGCAGAACGAATTGATTCGACTTAAAATAATCCTGTTACATTTTCTGACCTGCACTATTTGTGGGTCATCCAGCAAGTTGTATGAGAGGTCCACGACAGCCAAGCAGTGGCACTCGCTCAGCTCGCGGATGTCCTGTGCTGACTGCAGTCTGTTGTGGCTGATGCTGAGAGTATGCAGTGCTGGCAACTTGCCTGCATGGAGCAATACATGTCAGTGCAGAGTTGTATGTACTCCAGTTTGAGGTACACAAATATTCCAAATGCTTCCTTACTGATTTCATATACCTCACTGCCCTTCATATTAATTTATTTCTTAAACATATTACTGTTTTGAAGTGCAACAGTGTAGATTACAGCTTTAAATAATTGTTCTTCGTGTTAGGCAAATATCCACCATTACATAATGCTTGATGTGAACATTACAAATCTATATATTTTTGTAAATCCTACTCTGACTCAGTGCAATGTGATGCTGTGGTTTAAACTTACATATGTTCTCCAGTTTCTCAATAAAGTTATGACACACATTCAGGGTGTCCAGCATAAGCAGGTGTTCCAGATTTTCAATCTTCATTATCACATTGTATTGCAGATACAAGTTACGTAGTTGTGACTGGTTGCTCAAGTTTTCAATACGCTCAATGCCATTGTTCTCGAGCCATAGACACTTCAGTCCTGTGTATTCCTGCAAGTTCTCTATCTTCCTGTAACCTGTAGCACAATTTCTATTGTGATTTTCATTTATTTTGTGACTAATATTCAGTCCAAACTGAGACTAATTGTATCTTAATATTTTATCAGGAAATGAAACAACACTATTTTATTTTTATGGATGTTATTTTTGGAAGTTCCCAACAGTACTTAATGTCAGCATGATTCTTTCACGAAGCAAAACTAAAAAAAGGTGTCATGAATTTTTTTCATTTTCTGGAAAGAATATGCTGTTTCTGCATTTTAAAGCTTTAATGTTTTTAAGAAATTTAGATTACTTTCCTGTGTCTGGCTGAGTACCAACTTCTTCCTGCCTAGAAACAAAAGACTGCTCATATTATACCTGTTCTTCAATATTTTCTTCCTTCTGTACTCATTTGGTAAAATGTTGGGTGAGCTACAAAGCCAAGACAAGATTAGAGATTTCCTCATTTGTGGTCCTCTGAGTTTGTGTGCTCTATGGGTACCAGTGTTTCAGGTGACCATACTTCCTTCATCTGCAAGTAGGTAGAGGATCGAATAAGGAAGCACAGGATGGCCGGCCAATTAATGTCCCACTCAACTCACTTTAACTCTGATGAGGGAGGAAGCATGTTCTTCCAGAACATCTGCGTACACCTAGAAGACTACATGCCACATTAACCCAGAAGGTCACACTTTGAATATGGAGACAGTTCTGATAAAGTTTATTTGAAAGGAGTGACTGAAAAATAAAGATAATAGAAAACCTTAATGATCACAGGTGGTCACCAGCTAACATGAGCTGATTAAAAGTCAGACAAAAGTTGGCATGGAGTTAACAGTAATAAATCTGTCTGTTGTGTGTATTACCAGCACTAAATTACCTTTGTAATGAAGGTACAACACATCATTTAGATGTGGAGTCTGATACAGTTTAATTTCCTTGCACTGTTTCTTGATGGCTTCTTCAGTCATGCTGGAAAAACATTCAGAATGACTTTCAGTTATTAGGTGATATTTTGGAGTGAAGACTGCAGATTTAAATTCCTCATAAATATTTCTCTGAATATAAGAAAGTGTTTCTTCTAGGCAAAATGTAACTATATGTTGTTAACAGTCATGCAATTAAAAATCTCACCAGTGGATCAGTAACACCCACATCTAAATGTGGCTGTCTTCTGGGTTATTCCATCATCTGGGGCCTGATGATGGAGGCACCAAGGACCTCTGAAACATCGGTAAACTTCTACCAGACAGTGGTGCAACAGATCAGAAGATACATCTTCGCATTCACTGCTGTGAACACCCCAAATCCTACCCACATCTAACTTTATTTACCTACAATCTGTCCTAATTTTTTGCCATCCATTTGCTTTGTCTTCCAAGTGGCCACATACCAATCAGAATTACGTAGGTAATAGATCACTTTTCACAGCCATACAAAACAACTGGTGTTTCGAAAAGTAGGAGGGTTGATGACGGTCTGAAGTGAATAAATAATAATTTTCTAAATTATTATTGTCAGTTGTGCCACAAACGTCACTGAAAGATATTTTTGTCATTACCAGATGCTTACATTTTGAAATGTTGTTATTCACTACCTCAGGTTAGATTATGAAATACTAGGGAAAAAAATTGCCGATTGGAGGTAAAATTATGTCAACAGCAATAATTTTTTTAAGGATCTTTGCATTATTTTATTCTTTAGCCCTCCTCCGCACAAAAATAAATTTCTAGCCATTTGTGTACAAGATATCAATATATCTTTTTTTAGAAAAGTAAATGAATTATGTACCTTTCATCCAGTACTTGGTGTCATTTGTATAAAATTTAATTTGATTTGTAGCTGGTTTTGGTTCTTCATGTACAGGTTACAGCCAGCTTGTTGCCATCTCTCTCACAGTGTCTTATTAAGTATCTTACTAATATGACAGTATCATTTTGCCCACAAACTTTATGTGTTCATGTGAAATTTGTATTGGATGTTCTGCTGCCTATTTAGTGTCAGCTGCACGTGTTACGGTGTCAGAAAATGAGTCGCGTGGGTTAGCAGCATGTATAGGATTTTTATTTTTCTGGCAGTATTAAAGAACTGTGTATAATTTTCAGTCCTTTTTTTGATTGATATATAAAATGACCAGACAATGCCAATATATTTAACTGTTCCAAAAAATATATCAAATATCATAGATATATTAAATCTCAACTTACACAACACAGTATTCTCTTTCTCTGTTGTAACTATTTGGCATGCTGGAGTAACTAAACACAGAAGACAGCCATCTTCAGACTCACTACAGTGAAAACCTCAAATCCTACGTAACTAAACACAATCTGAAATTTAAGTCCTCACATAATATCAGGCCTATTATTCCATCTAAATTTAGTCGACAATAGCAACCTAGCTCCCAGTTAGCTCCTTCCTGTGCACAACATAAATTAAACCTTGCACCCTTACAAGAATTAATTTTATTGTACCGAGGCCTGTGCAGAGCATCAAATCCTTTTTCATCGCCTTCGAGCAGATTCTTATGAGTAGGATCCTGCATTGTGAATAGTTGCTACGTATTATTATATTTTTTTACTGTCTCTTATTTGATACGAAGCTATTCTTAACATATGAAGTGAAAACTTATTTGTGATTAAAATAAAGACGTTTGAACTGTAAATGTGTTATGTTGCTATGGCAACGATGACGTCAGAACGAGTCATGAAATCATCGAAATACAGCACAGAGGTGGAAGAAATTTCGGTCTTGGTTAATGTACAATGAAGTCATAAACAATGTTATTTACTATTATGTTGCTATTCAGTTAGGAAAATATTCTTGTGCAAACATCATCAAGGCTTATGGATAGAGCGTGTTAAATTCCACACATTCGGTGTTTTGAACGGAGATGAGTTATTAGCTTCATGCTCCGGTGATTTTTTCTCTGGTGCTACAAGAATTTTAGAGCACGCATTGTGTTCTGTGAAAGGGATCTTCTATGTAAGAGATATAAGCAGTAAAGATCAAAGCTGAATGTTAGCCTTTATTTCGGAGGTCTAGTCTTTGATTAAAATGTTTGCATCTTTGTTTGTGATATATGTAATGACCCGCCACATTAATAACAAGTTAATATTATCAGGTACTGAAATACTGCAGCAGTATGGAATGTAGTATCTTTGACTTAATTTACTATCTGCAGTTGGCCAATCAGAGCGCGATACAAAATGTTGCCGCCTTGAGTCCACCAGAATGTGTAGGAAGCATGCGTGAAGAGTAGAAATGTGTGCTCTGTTACCTTCAGTAGACAAAGATTAATTTGCGCAGAGTATTGTAAGGTTTCATATCTATTTGTGTCGGAAAATAGCATTATATAAAAAAAATGCCCTGTGAAATGATAACTCTCCAGCTCGGCCAGTGTGGCAACCAAAGTAAGCACTTTTGTTACTGAATTTTGACAGCTATTGGAGGTTACATGCTTCTTGTATACATTAGGTTCTTCGACTTAGTGTGTTATGGTTAATTGTGTTTTGTAAGATTTGATTTGTTTTGCTGTATTACAGTTGGTTTTGAATTTTGGAAAAGGCTGTGTGCAGAACATGGAATTAGCCCAGAAGGGATTTTAGAAGAATATGCTACAGAAGGAACAGACCGTAAAGATGTTTTTTTCTACCAGGTTAGATATGGGAATATGCAAACTACTATGCTTACACTTTTGTCTACATTCTTATTTTTGACCTTGTGTTGACTTCATGCCCTTTGTGTTTGATAGGCCGATGATGAGCACTACATTCCTCGAGCTGTATTGCTGGATTTGGAGCCACGAGTAATTCACACAATAATGAATTCCCCATATGCTAAGGTAGATGGTCTCACTGGTTATTTAGATACATTTTTTAGACTATCGGGACAACATGTTTATGTGCAGTCATTGTTACAGTTATACAACCCAGAGAACATATACCTGTCAAAACATGGAGGAGGTGCTGGTAACAACTGGGCATCTGGCTACAGTCAGGGTGAGCGACTGCAGGAGGAAATATTTGATATCATAGATCGTGAGGCAGATGGCAGTGACAGTCTTGAGGTAAATAATATATCTAAAATACAGCAGCTAGAAATATTATGCAAGGTAGAATGCTTCATTTTAGAGCTGGAAATTGTGATTAAAGTACGAATTGAGTGACAGGTTATGTAATTAAGAATGGTTTTGAATGTTAGGTTGGTAAAATATAGAAGAGTATTGATTTCTAACATTGCACAACATTCACCTGTAAATATTATAAGTTGATTAAAAACATAAATGTAAACTAAGCGAGCCTAACCTACTGTTTTGGTGGCCATAGCTAAATGATATCATCAGCCACCAGACTTGTGCATAGTTCATATGTTGTGTTTTACAGATGCAACATGGCCTGACCTGTGATAACCTAACATGTTAATAAGTTCAAATTTATTGAAAAATATAGAAACATGCCAACGTACGAGAAAAGTATTTGTTAGCTTAGCCACCGCCGTGACCAGGCTCTGAGCTGAACGACCAAATTTTGTTTCCTGTCAGGGCAGGATTTTTCTGTTTGCCTCTTTCTTTTTGGTATGAAGCTAACCATTCACCTCCATCTAGTTCCAAAGTTAAGAATATGTGTCGTTATACTGCCACTCCCTTATATGCTTACTTTTGCTGTAACGTTCCTAGTACAGCTACAAACATTTGTTGTGAAACAGAGCTGACTGGCAAATTACCTTGCATTTGAAAAAGGTGTAAATAATAAGTTGCTGTTGTAATGTACTGATATATATTGTTTGTTTCAATCATCTAGTAATATTTACAGGTACATGTTATGTGATGTAGTGGGAAATCAGAACTCTGTTCACTATGTTCAGTAAGTATAAGTCAAGCTTAGTTACTATGAAGCCATTCTTGGATTTCCTTTCAACTGTCATTTATTAGTTTCACTGTGCTGTCCTACTGCAGCTTCTACTGTCTTTTGCAGGGGTTTGTGCTGTGCCACTCAATTGCGGGTGGTACTGGTTCAGGCTTGGGCTCCTACATTCTAGAGACGCTGACAGATCGCTTCCCAAAGAAGCTTATCGAGACATACAGCGTGTTCCCAAACCAAGACGAGATCAGTGACGTGGTGGTACAGCCATACAACTCTCTGCTTACCCTGAAGCGACTGACGCAGAGCGCAGACTGTGTTGTTGTTCTGGACAATACAGCACTCAACAGGATAGCGACTGACAGGCTCCATATTCAGAACCCTTCGCTCACTCAGATCAACACTCTCGTGTCCACCATCATGTCTGTCAGCACAACCACTCTGAGGCAAGTGATGCCCACGAGTCTCACTCTCTCATCTTCACTTGGAAGTGTGGTTTTCTGCCCAGTCACTTGTATGGCATTGTGTTATAAAAGAATAAATGTATTTGGTGAAACAATTATTTATTTTAACAGTTCAGTTCAGTTCAGTTGCAGTCAGTGTTTGTAAACTGGTCACTGTACTGACAGCTTTCTATGAAGCTGTTAGTGAACTGTGTGCGAGACGGTATTCTTGAACATGGGTCATTTACCATCAGTCTTGCTGCAGATGTGCAGTTTGTTTACATTTGCTAGATCTGTCACAGAGGAACTTTACATTTCAGTGACCACATCCAAACGCCTTTTAATGTAAGTTTTATTTAGTTGCTGGACCTTACACCATTACATTGAATTCAAATGTTATGTACACCATTTAACCCTAACCCAGTTCAAGAGCACCTTCTTGTCAATAGGTTGTAACGTGCCTGAGTTCTCAGCCAATTCCAGCAAGTAGTGGGATAACAATTTTTTAGCCATTAGTAGAACACAAGTGTGATTTGCTTATGTGGAAAACGTCTTTATACTCTACCTTTGTGTTCAGGTACCCCTCATACATGAATAACGATCTGATTGGTCTCATAGCGCCCCTGATTCCCACACCTCGCCTGCACTTCCTGATGACAGGCTACACCCCTCTTACGACTGATCAGGAGGTATCGTCGCAACATTAATTTTCTGATACGTAATAATGAATTTGGCATGAGAAACTAAATGTAGATCAAAGGACATAAATTGCTGCTACCTAATCTGTTTAAACATAACAGGCTGCATCAGTGCGCAAGACAACGGTGCTGGATGTGATGAGGCGCCTTCTTCAGCCCAAGAACATGATGGTTTCAACGGCTCATGATCGCAATGCTGCCCACTGCTATATCTCAATTCTCAACATCATTCAGGTACTGTACTGCATTACTGACGTCTCATCTCCTACTAATTTCAGCTTGAGGTTGCTTGCATGCGTTTGAACCCGTATACTATGTATGGGGCTGCCAGCCAGACTTAACTCCACTGTCACACAGTGAATAAGCCATGATGCGTAGGCAATAAAGGTTAAACCAAGGTGAGTGGCTCACTTACATCATTATCTTCTGCACAGGGTGAGGTTGATCCGACACAAGTTCACAAGTCTTTGCAGCGAATTCGTGAACGCAAGCTGGCTCAGTTCATCCCTTGGGGACCGGCAAGTATCCAGGTTGCCCTGTCACGGAAATCACCGTACATTCAGAGTGCACATCGTGTGTCTGGCCTCATGCTGGCCAATCATACCAACATCTCATCGGTAAGTATGTCCAAAGGCTGCATGAACAGTGTCTTACGGTTTTTGTTGAATTATCATTGTCACTGTGTGCTTTGGTTCTCATAACTTGAAAAAACCATATAAGGGAGTCTGGAGCTAGGTCCCCACATATTCTTAATCTTGGCATGAAATGGACCAATTTCGCAACCATGGTAGAAAAAAAAAAGTCTTGAGTTTCATTGGAGGCTGGACATGTTCCAGAACCGTCTGAATATTATGTTGAAGGGAGAACTCTCTGCTACTGCCAGCATTTAAATACTTACTCCATGCTAGGGCCTAGCACCAAGTCTGACTATAAATATTTACAGTTTCTTGTGCATGAAACATATTGAGGATGTTGTAAAACAGTATCCAAGTGTTACACTGTGCTCAGTCAAATGTGACGCTAATGCATTTGGTTGTATCATCATCAACTGCAAAAGTTATTTTTCATTGGGTGAGATTAGATGATGGTTCTAGCCAACATAGAAAGCATACTTGTAGACATTGAGAGCATGTGGTACTGTTTGTAGCACTTGAGCTAACCTGCTGTTGCGCTTATTTCGACCTTATGTTATACGCAGCTGTTTGATCGCGCCTTGCAACAGTATGACAAACTACGGAAACGAGAGGCATTTCTGGACCAGTTCCGTAAGGAAAACATGTTCAATGATAATCTGGATGAGCTGGACCATTCCCGGGAAGTTGTGCAGGAGCTGGTGGACGAGTATCATGCAGCCACACGTCCAGACTACCTGTCGTGGGGAACAGACCAGGTTAACCACTTTTATCTTTCCACTGTGCAGGTTCATCACCACACTTCCAAAATATCCATTTGCTGAGTATTAATTAACCAGTTTTTATGAAAACTGGATTCAAAGTATGTTTTCAAAATATTGGACACTTTTAAAGTACTAGTTGTCAGCATAAAATGTGGTGTAGTTTGTAGATTTAGGTTGTATTTTTGGGATTCTACAGAAACCTTTCTTTATTCTTTTCTGTTATGGTCTGGTTTTGAATAGTGAATCATGAAGGCTGAGAGTGGAAGCTTTCATAGTCTATTCTAATGTATTATCCTAACATTTCTGTTATGCTAAATGATGAAATTCCACAGTTAGGATAGATGGTACCTGGCCATATACTTCCACTCTGCTAACCCAGTGAGAGGTATTTGATAACTAAGGGTCAACATATTATGCGTACTGCATAAGGGCCATAAGTGGTCTGTGTCCAAGGAAATCATCATGTGTTCTGCAATTAGCATTTACCTTAAAGATGGCCATCATTATCATGAGAAACTGAAATCTCACTCAGCATTCAAATTTTACTTTCAGGCGAGTGTCGACGCATGAGGCTGTCTTCAGGGCGCCATCTTACAAGTTACGTAGTACCTAGAACTGCTTTCCAATGTGACGCCACTTTGTGCATCGTGCAAATTCTCATATCTAAAGTATAGAAGATATAAGTTGTACGCTGAGTGTCATTGTATGTTATAGTGTTTTGTTAATTAAATTACATTTCTTTTCATATTTCATTGCTGTGTTTCATAGCCTCAGTTTGTCTCCTGTTATCATTTTGTGCAGGCCGTTTGATATTGAGGCTTGAAAGAAGCCGGTATCTGACATGAAATCACACCCCGATTTCAGTTATGCTCATGGTTCTAATTGTAAAGGGAAATGATTAGGCATATGTTCAATCTACAAAACTGTTGCAGCAGGCATGGGCAAACTGTTTATTATATGGCCTAACTTGCAGAATATTCATATTTCTATGGGCCCAAAAATCAGACCAGCAGGTTACTCAGTTCTTTATTTCAGGAGGTAAGTACAATTCTTTAGCTACTTTGCCATGAGCCATTGGGCTACAGTTTGCTCACCTCAGCTTTGAAAATATGTGAACAGTTTCATAATATGAATAACAGTACTGCTTTTATTGTTAACTGAAATGTGTACAGATCAATGACTTTTAGTAGGCAAGCTTACAGACCTTCAGTTTCTTGAATTTCACAAGATTTTCCATAAATTTGTTTGAAAATTAATCACGTCTCAGGGTGAACTTCTCCTCCTGTATACCATCTTTTGTGATAATATTGATAAAAATGCTGTCACCAGTATAAATGTCTCTCTCAGCAGCAGAAATGAAGGCATCCTTCAAAAGTGCCATGGCCTTTTCTATATGAATGGGCTCAGAAGTGACATTGTCCATATTTTCGTATCCAATCTGGTTGTCGAGAAGTGGCTGCAACAAGGCACCAGCAGACCCTTTTGCATTGAAGGCTACTTTTTGACAATGGCCTACAGGGTCATAGCAGTAGACACAACCTTTTCCCTCTTCATCCAGTCCAGCCAGCACATTGGAAACGTAGTATGGGAAGAATCTCTTGTAGTACAGCATAGTAGATAGCATCTGAGCCACAGCTGGAGTAGACATGGGCTTCTGGTGCTCATGGAGGTACATCTGCATTCTAGCCTCCAGGATGCGAGCCAGAGTCAGTGTATCACACCAACATCCCGAGCATCCGAGCACCGTTGTATCTGAAAGACGGAATAGCTTTCGCTGTTCGCGGGTATAGATTGAAAATCCACTGCTCAGTCGAGTGTCGGATGCCAATAAAGCAAAGTCATCTCCAGCAATAGCTATCACACTTCCTCCATTATCGGCGTATGGAACGAAAGACGGTATTTTGGTTCCTTCATAAGTACGACAATCGGCCAGACCGTTCAGTGACATTTTATGAGTTTTAGAATTATTAAATCACAGTACTTACTGTGTTCAATAACTACACACTTAGCTTCCTATTAAGTGACTATATAGTATTCCATATCCCAGAGATCACAGAACCTTAAAACGATTATTGAATACCAATCTAGGCTCATAGAAATTCTCCGTGCGGATTGAAAACCTCTACTGCAATAATGTCTACACGTAGTTTACAAATCGAAGATAAAAGCTCTGACAGTTTATATCGCGCATTGATATGGATCGAGTTTCCTCCCAAAAGAGGAGGATAACGTTGAGTAATTCATGTTTTATCTTAACGTGTTTTTGACAGAATGAACATATTTGTATGCATAATTCATCTGTATGGTACAAGCATTGTATTTGTATTTCTCCAAAGATAATCTATGGAATGTAAGTAAATTTTGTTCTACTCTTATCTGAATGGCTTTCCGCGGCTACTGTGCACTAATCATGGTACTTACACGTTTTATGAATGATTAATTAAATATCTCATCATCATCATCATCTCCTATCGAGGTTTGGGCCTATAATGACCTATGATCAGAGAGTGTACGTATGGCAACATTTGCCTCGCCATTTTGTTTTTTCTTTTGTCGTCAATGGTGGAAACGCTATCATACGGTAAAGAAACGACGCAGTTGCTACGTATTTAATGTTGGTGTACGTGAATTTAGTGCAGGACGCGCTAATTGTTCTACAATGGGTACTCCTAGGCAAGATAATCACAGTTCTTCAGCAATTAAGCCTGTAATAAAACCGTACGGTAGAATTGTTTTAAGTCTTAAAAACTGTCTTTTGCCCGAGAACAAACTTTGTCCTACTCCATCACAAAACGATGGATTGGATCAGGAAACAGAAACTGATTTAAGGATATTAGGATGTGAATTAATTCAGACGGCTGGTATACTATTAAAGCTTCCACAAGTGAGTATGATTGTTTAAAAATGTGCATATATTCTGAAAGGAACGAGTTTTCCGATACCTATGTACCCTAACGCCAAGGCCAACTGACGCGTGATTTGATGGTGTCATGTGAACTAAGTGATGAAGGGTTATGTTTGAGGTAAATTGTTATCGAAGTAAGAAGTTGAAGGTGATGAATATACAGGAAATTCTGTGCTTGTGTGTACTGCAATTTAAACAAGTATTCATTTTATTTGGTTGTATTGTAATGGATCCAATCAGGTAAGAGAATAGAATTTATTTACATTCTATATATCCTTCATAGGCCTAAGTGAAGGATGTAGAACAGGTCATAGAACAAAAACGACACTTGTTTCTAGTACAGATATAAATACATAGTTTTAACAGCTATTTTCAGATTTCTGGAACTACAGTATTACAGCAAAATAATTACGATGAGAAACCATCACCATTGTTACTTACATGTGTTTATAATAATTGAGACTTTTTGGGCGAAATAGATTCTCCTACTGAGTAAAGGAGCAATATAGGACATACTCTTTCAACGCTGGCTTAAACTTTACATGTGTTTGATGAGGTTACGTAATCTTTTCGAGTGAGCTGTTAATTAACAGTTGCAATTTTTTGTTTCGTTTTATTTGCTTAAATTATGTGAAGTTTGCAACACAATTGTGGAAATTTGTTCTCTGTAAACTATTTCAGTCTTGTGTGCCCATTAATGGGTCCAGTATCATGATACTGGATGAGCAGTGCTTGCAGGTGATTTAGGAACACCTTACAAGAAGGACTTGCATCAGTTTAGTACTGTTGAATTAAGGGGAAGGAATGTCCACAGTTTTCACTACTGACTTCAGTGAAATCTTCCACTTTTAGGGGGAAAAGTTGGTTTGAAATGTCTTTGGTTTATGACTTGCCTAAGTCTAATAGTAGATCTGTTTTTGTTTTGTTTTTCAGGTTGCAATGGCTACGGGGCAAGTTTTGTTTCAACGTTTTTATTATTCTAAGTCATTTGTTCGGCATGCAATGGAAACAACGGCCATGGGTTGTGTTTGTTTGGCTTCAAAAATAGAAGAAGCTCCTAGAAGAATTCGTGATGTAATCAATGTATTCCATCATATTAAACAAGTGAAGAGTCAGAAGTAAGTATTTGGCTTGCTCTTTGCCATTTGTCCAGAATTCATGATGACCCACTCCATTACTTTCCTTTCTTCCTGCTCTAGGTTCATTAGTCTGTATTTGCTGTAAGCACCTGACGTTGAGGCTAGTTCTAGACGTGTTGCGGGTTACTTGGCTACAGATTAAACCTTGCTAGTGTCTTGAGAGTGAATAGTACTGGTCACCTCACTTAGGCCCATCAAAGTACTTCTCTTTGCTTTGTAATAGGTTAGACAACATTTTATGTAGTCTTGTTTGGTTATGATGCACCCAGTAGAATGTGATCACACTCCATGTGAAGTGCTCATTGTGTGGTTGCTGGCCTCAGAATCTAAAAATGTGCCTGTACCGCTCATTTATTACAAGAACTGCTGTGCTGTTCCCCAGATTACTTTATTAATTGAAGTAGGCCATGACTTCACTTGTTTGCTGTTCTTACTGGGTCTTATTCTCATTGTACACCATACAGCTACGTCCCTTTGATCATTAATTTCACGTGACTTTGGGATTGTCACGTTGTTCTGAGTGTGACGTGACACTGTGTAGGGGGGGGCACACAACTTCAGTAACTCTTGGTACTCTTGCTGGATTCATTGTACACACGTGATCTTTGTTAGGGTCTTTCAAAAAGCCCTGACCTTACTGCTGGACTCCGAACCAATGCAGTTGAAGCCCTCCTAACACCCGTTTGCCCCAGCCATGCAGTGCTGACAATTTATAGTCTGTCCAGCCAGTGCTGGGCATTGACATAGTATGTGGTAGGGGGATGCCTTGTCCTGTGCACATTTCCTGCTCTTGATACTTTCCAAGATTGCTTGGTTTCTGATGACCCTAGGTGCGGCTGTTATGCCCTTTTCTCCTGACCTCTGCTAACTATTGGCAAGTCTAGATTCCATTTCTGAGGTGGGCACACCTGTAGGGCAGATTCCAATATCCGCAGTGATAGAGTGGTTGCAGTTTCTACAGTTTGAAATGCATTTTGAATCATTGTGGTGGCCGGTAAATTCCACTGTCCCAGTGTTTTATTTGTCTTTGGTAGAATCAGAGGCTTAAATTTCTAGTCGGAAAAATTGACACGTACCTGACCAGGATGAAACGTAGAGCCCCGTGAACGATGGTGTGTGAGATCACAGGGTTTCCAGTTCCTACTCTGAACAGTTGTCACACTGTTTCTCGTCATAAATAACCAGCCTTTCATTTTAATTAAGTTTTCAGGTCTTGTTTTGTTTACTTCTTTACTTTTTGAATGGTATAAAACCTGTGAAGACTGTGACTTCGTTACATGTGTAAAGTTGTCATAACTTATATTCTTACAGAAATCACGGCGTACTAAAATGTTTACATCTTTAATAATAAATTTCTAGGTGACATTAATATTAATAAATCCCCAACAGAGACAGAGGATTGTGTTCTAGCCTCTGCATCCAGACAGCTCTGGGGTCCACCCAGCCTCCTGTCCAGTGGGTACCGGGGGTCCTTTCCGGGGGGTAAAGCGCGGAGAGGGCATGCTGCCGACCACTCACCCCCGTCTAGTGCCGAGGTTGAGAACGAGTAGGAGCTATCCCACTTCTCCCATAAGTGCCAGCATTGCCATGTGTCGGGATGCCTTTAATTTTACTAATGTTAGCTGCGGCTTTGATCCCCAAAACGGATGAACAGTTTTCAGCATGTCTTGAAATTATTTCAACAGGTTTTTATCAGGCTTTGAAAATTATCCCAGTAAGAAAGATAAAGGACACCGTGAGTTGTGAACAGGGTGACAACCCAGTGGAAAAACATGAATAAATCTCTGTTGATGAAATCATAAACCATGTTACTGACAGGAAAGCTGTGCCACATCTAGTAGCCATATTCATCTCGAATTATTATTCTTCTGTGGGCTTCCTTAGTAGTGAACAGGAGAAGTCTGACTCATACACCTGCAAGACATCCAGGTCCTTTATTACAGTTGCGGATGTGTTTAATCTGAAGGTGTAAACACAGGTTCCTTGGAATGTCTCAGTTCAATGATTGTGGACATAATTTAATAGTCACAGTTTTTAATTTGTGTCGTGGTATGAGAGTCGACATGTAAATGACTCTCCCTAGAGGTTGGCTCCTGCTGTGCCCCATTTCTGTATTTCTACTCCCTTCATGTTAAACTGCTTTTCTGATGAGAGAAGAATTGCAGTTTAAGCAGTGTTCCGAAACAGGCACCTAGAGAAGTTGCGTATACAAGGATTTGGCATTCCATGAAACATAGTTCTTACATTTCTTGTTGAATGGTGTTTGAAAAAGTGTTACATGTTGCGTCTTTGTGTGGAATGTGATATTTCAGTACCATGCGTAGACTGGGTTAACATGTCAATGTACTAATGTTGGTTTATTTTTGTTTACAGAATAATTGTATTCTATATAAGTTAGACTATGTGGGAGCTGTGGTGTATATCAATCCACAAAGTTAGATCTTGCTTATTATCCTGTGTCATGTTTATGCGTTACTCAGTGGCTGGCTTCATCGAGTCGCACTCACTGAGTCTTGTCACGGTTAACTTGGAAACTCCAGACGGGCATTTGCTCGGTATTCAGTAGATTGAACAGATTAATTGAGTTTTGAAGTTACAAACTTTCCTTCTGTGCAACATTCGGTCAGGAATGAACAGGAACTTTGCTTTGCCTCCTTTTGCAGTGTGAAGCTGAGCCACTGACAGTATTTGAACATGTGCGTAGCATAGAGAAATACTATGTGCATGAGTGCAGGCTTGCCAGGGAGTCAAATCATTGGATACGTGTGGCTGAGTGAATGAGGTGGCATGTAAATGTTGCAGAACATCGGAATCTCCTTAACCTGTATTCAGAATTTCAAGTTTTTCACGTTCTGTGAGGTTTTGTCGCTCTGAATCCATTTGCATGTTGTCATCATTCAGACACAGCAAACCACGGTTTGAGTCCCCGACAGAATTGCTTAAGATTTAGGTGTGAGGGATGGGTCCATTCTGTGCGGAGGGACATTTAACCTTTGCTCAGAGAATTTTGTACTTACTTTCCACAGATGTTTGTTCGCACATCAGTCCTCCAGCCAGGGGCTGATGGTGGTGAGTTGGCATTACCGGTACCGTACATTGAAATGTAAAACACAGACAGCCATTGAGGGGTTGGCAGGCAGCCCCTCTGCTGAACAGAGACTGTGTGGTTCAACAGCCAAGGCTATCTCCTCCCCAACAGCTCGCTGCCACAACAACCAATCATTTTGTTTCACAAGTTTCTCGTGTTTATTTGTTCTTGTTTGTTTTGTTTCTTACCGCCAGTAGTGTGCGTAGGCCTCGACCATGGCAAGATATATCAGAAATCTTGCGATGTTCCTGGCCTGCGGCCAGAGCGTCAGACAGTCGATCTGCTCACCAATGTGTGCGATACACTTTGCGCATTTCAACGTTGAGAACTGAGATATTTTAATTTTGTCTCTGAGAGGCATTTGACGTTTAAAATGAGTGGTGCCATTACGGTTTATATGAGAGCTGTTTACAGTTGTTTTAACTCTGGATGTTTCATGAACATAGAAAGTGTGGGGTATTGGAGAATGGGGCATGTCACAAGGTACATGTTTTATTTTCCACCTCCCAATCTCATAATTGTGGTTATGGATTATAGATATTGGATTTTTATGACCACAGATGGTGAGTGCGTTGAGATAGACCATGATTCCCTTCTCTGTCTGTGTATTTTCCCACATTGGTGATGCAAGCTGTCATGCAGTGTTGCTTAACTATTAGAGTAAGTTGAAGTCATAACCTTTCTTCCAGAGAAATGGAAAACAAGTTAAGTGATTTTTTTATTTAACTGGCATTTCATTTCAATGCATTTGTAAGTTTTGTTTGCTGTTCTTTGGATACTTTTAAGTGATTAACGCTGTCCAAATACTTTCGCTGTGTTCAGACAATGTGGCATGGCTGCACAGCTTTTACTTCTGACTGGAAGCAAATGAAAGATTCAGACAAATTGGGAATTCGGTGCTTAGGGGGCACAGTGCTGCTTCTTTACGCTGAGAACATGGCTACATTGACCAGTTTAAAGAGGGATTTATTAACTCAAAATAAAAAGTAACAGTGGAGAGGTGTTAGTCATGCCCATTTTGGGCTCGGTTACACCTTGCTTAAAGTAATTTCCATGACTTCGCAGTTCTGAATAAACATTTGGAAAGACCGGTTGATTTTACTGTCCTTGTCAAGAAGCACGTGTCTTGGACATGTTATCGGACGAATGAATGATAATAAGTTGCAACTTATGAATGTGTGAAGCTCTTCCTCTATTTTCCCCATGCTTCTAAATGGTGTGGTGATTTGAGGGACACTTTTTTGCCATTTATGGTGTGGATGTGTGAATGGCACTATTACACTGGGGCAGGGACGTGATAGGAGCTGTTATAAAATGTCATTGTAATTTGGTGGATCAGGTGGGTTGTGCATGTAGGCCTAGTCAAGTGCATGAGAGTGATTCATGAATCTTAAGGAAAGAGGATTTGAGGATGCGGATTGGATTCATCTTACTCGGGATAGGGACTGGTGACGGGCTGTTGTGTATACAGTAATGAACATGCAGGTTTTGTCAAGAGTGTAATAAATTCTTCTCGGGCTGCCACCCGTGTCGGGTGGTTTAATGGATGAGGACGAAGGTGGTTCTCGAAACGGTGTTTTCTCCATTAAACCACGTGACGCGGGCAGTGGCCCGAGAATAATTCATTATACTTTGTTATCGTGAAAGCTTCAGATCACGTCTCATGAAAAGTAGGTAATTCGTTGAGCGGCTAAGCATGACCAATCGGCTTTTACCGCACATTGTCTGTTAGTGCTTTTGTTATAAGCTGTATTTTGTAAAATTCGGAGATGATTACTGCGTGTCGGTTATGTTACACTTGGTTAGTGGCTATTTTTTCAAAAATAGTTCATGGTATTGGCAAAACACGTTGACTTATTGTATTTTTTGGGATGGTTTTCAGTTTACTGGTTAATTTTTCTTTGAAGTAAATTTTATGTTGCATCAGAGTATGAAATTGAAACTGCATTATGGTACACATCTACAAAAGGTTTCTGCCTGCTGGAATTGGTTTGTCATGTTGGCCCATTTGTTATTTCTGAAAGAATGTGTTACAGCAGCTTGTGTCTGTAAAACTTTGAATGAATGAAGCCTTGGAAAATGGCTGTTGTGTGTTTCTCTCCCAGTACTTGTGCTACTTGTAAGGTTGGGGGTTTGAAATTGCAGTTTGTGAGGCTGTTATCACCCCCTTGTTATGAGGGTGACTGGGTACAGTAGTAGCGTAGTCTAGTAACCAGTAATGCTGAAGATGTTGGGGCTCAATCTGACAGCCTTGTGGAGATTAGTAGACCTTGCAGTCTTTTAAATGACCTGTTTTTTCCCAGGGCTGTCACCGATTGGATGTTTAGTTGTTGCTTGACTTCAGAAGAAGCTGCTTGAGTCAAGTTGACAATGGGATTGAACAAGTGTCTGGTTTGTTTCAAATTATTATATGACCCTTAGACTTGCCGTTGCATCATGTGCGTTGGTGAAAACCTATGTAGTCGGGTATTTTACACGTTTTCTTGTATCTCTGTCTTACGCTGCCTTTCACCCATTTCAGTACCGTGTGGCAACATCGTCTTCATTAAGTGATGACTGATTTCCCTCTGAATCCTGAATTCTGATGAACAAAAGTTGTACTCTCGTTGTGTGCGTTCCTTTCTGATGTGTGTTGGCTTCGGCATAGAGATGGCGATCGCTAGTCAGTTCATTCCTTCTGCCATTACTTTGCGGTATGTTGAAGCACAAGTGTTTGTATTGGCAGTGTTAGGTACGTGCTTATAATAAGTTGCCAGCTTTCCAAGACACTGCTTCTCACAGTGAGACTTTGATGTGAGAAAATGTTTACTTCTCTTGACTGGCAGAACTGTGAATCTGTTTCACATTTCAGAAGTGGCACTGTGAATTCGGTAATTTGCTAAACTGATGTAAAGTGTGAGAGTTTTCATGATCGTAGTATATCCTGTATTGTTTTGATGTTGGTACCTCCAACAAACAAGAACAATGCTATGCCCAAAATATCTCTTTCAGTCACTGGACGCAGGGTAAGTACACAAGAAGTTCAGAGTGGTGAATGTATTTCATCTTCAACATAACATACTTCAAAAAAAGACTAGAACTGTGAAGAGACATAGGACATTCACAATAACTATTTTTTCTGTAAGAAGAAAAGCAAACAGTATGCTAGCAGTAATAATTATGTTGATATTTTGATATGTCTGTGCTACTAATTGCAAAGCATTTTCCAGTGACGTCACGGACCATTCGTCGTTCAGTGAAATGTGTGTGATTATTTGTTGCGTTAATTTTGAAACAGACTGTGCCAGACAGTAAAGGTACGTAACATGACTTACTGAACATGGAAGGAATGCTTTTAAAGTGACAGCAGGTAGTTTAATGGCTCAATCTTTTCAGAAATGGAGACTGAGAATATTCGATTCCTTCCTTTAGAACTTGCAATTCTTTTGCATGGAACTATAAGTTTTCCAAGTGTCAAGTTTTGGAGCAATGACTGACATTTCAAGATGAAACATTAAATGAAGATCTTCACAGAAATGGTGACCTTCCTTTGTTGTTATCAAGATACCTTTGAAGGAAGATAGAGCTTCAAATCTTCAATGCAATGATTGTCAGTGTGTTGTGCGAGACGTGGTAAGGTGGTGGAGTTGGCGTGCCTGTATAGCCTGCTACTTTTATTTGTAAGCTTCAGAACAGTTGTTTCATTGGATGCCAAATGCTTTCAGAAGCAAGAAGCTGTGTGTTGTGTGGCTGCAGTCACTAGAGGGGACAAAACACGTAGGCCCCCGCATGCTTCAGATTTCAGTATCTGGCACACTCGCTTCCTGTGTTCCAACAGCCACGTAGGGATGCGGCTCCGTCACTTTCTGACGTTGCGAGATGGAATCGAGCAAGTACAAACTTTACTAATAGTAATTGTTAGTGCGGAAACTGGATCAGTTCCGTTTGTATGAAAATTTTGTTTTGATATGCAACAATTTGCAGAAATGGGTAGTTGTATTTGGTCCCTTCCCTGTGAATGGTTTGTTGTCCAATTTCAGAACGATCCTCGGGTTACGGTTTTGTAATGGAAATTAGCCCATTGAATGTCCTGCAGAAGTAAAGTCTGTGTGGAAACATGAACGTAGCAGTGGATTTACTGGCTTGTGTCATTCTGCTCAAGTGATGAGGAAGCTGCCGTGCAGTATGGTCTTCATTTTTATGTAGCGCGGTATCAGAATACAAAGTTTATCTACAGGGGAAATATATATTAACATCAACTCTGAAGTGTATTATGTATCTTACAATGCAATCAACCAGAATTGCCCAGATTTTTGGGTGAATAGAAGAGAAGCATTTGTAAGTTCATATATGAAATATGATTTGACTGGAAACACGGTTGAAATGCCATAGTAAGTGCTTGGAGCTAGCCACGCCTTTTAAATATCTACCTTAGAGTACATGTGAGCAGATCTCTGAATGTCAAGAGTTGGTTTCTGTTGTCATGCAGGTCCTTGGCTCTCAGTGCCTTAAATAGACAGTGGTTGTGTGATTCTCCCCAATATGTAGTCTTTTGTACATCTGTCTGTAATCAACCATTACGTTTCCATCAGCACAGGTAGGCAGAGGCACAATGTGTCATTGCGATGGTTCATTGTTCCGTTATTAAAGATGATGGTGTTGGATCACAGAGACTTCTATTCAGTGGAGTTGTTAAAAAAAAATAATTGCAATGTCAAGTGATGCTTTCTTGAATGACTTAAAGTTATGGTCTCTTAACAAATTTGTGTTGTAGTTGAGGGATTTTTCTTTGAGATGTTAAACAGTTTCTTAGTACTTTATGTGGATCAGAATTAATTTAACCTTCAGTTTGGTGTATGTCTGGTCTGTAATTGTGCAGTCTTTTCTCTTGAAACATGCGACACATTCACCATAATTAAACTTTTTCATAATGCGTGCAGTATGTGATGAACCATTTAAGTTATATTCTCTGTTCCAGTGGCCTTCAAGATCTTGGTGAAGAATACTGCATACATTTATGAACCGATCCCAAAAATTTAATTTGGTTATGGGGTTTCATATATTCACATACTGGTAATGTAGTTGGGAGGAATAACTTAAATATGGTAAACTTCAGTCAAGATGAATCCTGTCCATAGTGTTGTCAGTTAGAGTTGTAAGCATGTTCGTGCCTTACAAGATTTTATCTGTAAAGTTTTCATGTATCAGCCTATTAATTGTGGAATGTTGCCAGACATTGTTTTTTTTTTT